AACCCCCCTGCCATGGGCAGGGATACTGATGATTTACCTTCTCAAAAAAAGAGGCATAGCTTGAATTCAGATTGAAGACATTTAACTTTCAGGGGAATCTGCTTGTCATTTGAAGGCTTTAGAAAGTACTACCCTATCAATTTTACAAATTAGAATATATTCAGCCCGTTTGCATTGCAGACCAGTGCAAGTGGGAATGTTTGAAATCCAGCTCATGTAGATTTTCACTTCTTACTTAAAATGTGCCTGTGATCTAGTTTAACAAAGAAATGCATGGAAAATGTATTACCCTTCCCAGGGAAGTGTTGGACGTGGCTGCTATTTAAAACCCAGTGTCATTGCAGCATTTTGATACTGTTTTCATGATACTGTAAAGCATCTTGCTGTCCAACACTGTAAAGTTCAATAAAGCAGACAGAGCCACCAGTGTTGCCAGACACATTTGGAAGCATCTGTTGAGACCGAGTTTCTGCAAGAGACGTTGCGTAGCCTGCGTGGTCGGACCTAGACTGACGGTGAACCCCAGCCCTTGAATTTCGCAGGAGTACCTTGCTTCGCTTTGCTTGCTTGTGAGAGTTCATCCAACACGTGGGCCATCAAAGCACGTTCGTCAGCCCTCGAGGTGTCTAGCGTGCACCTCCCGAGGGGGATTAGCTGTGTCCGTGGGCGTGCAGGCATGGCAGCCCCTTGGGAGCGCGGCGTTTCGGCTGCGCTGGATGGGGCTGGTGATGTGCGATGGGGTGAACGCGGCTGGCTTCGCACGGAGGCTGTGCCTGAAACCGGTGTGAACCTCATGGCTGCGGCTCGGCTGTGCTCTCAAGCAGCTCTCTCCTGCTCAGCAGTTCCTCTGGAGGAGTGCAGCAGGCTTCTGCAGTACGAGGGGTCTCTATTCCGGTCCCCCACTGCAGAGGGGATCGGAGCTGGGGTGCCTCCAGCGTTTGCATCTCCGGCTGGTGAAGGCTCTGGGCACGGCGTTGAACCTTGGTCCTCTCCTGAAGCAGGGCCGTGCTTCTGCCGGGCTGCAGCGGGCATCACCCAGCAGTGCTCCGAAGCTCCGTAGGTCCAGTGAGTTTATGCCTGCTAAATATTATCATTATAGCTACTGCTAGATCTGCACTTCAACCAGGTAACTGTTGCCCAAGCCTGAGTTTCCTTTGCTTTTGAGCTAACACTGAATTCCTAATTTCCTTTCATCCCATCTTTTGTGGGAGAAATGCTGAAGGCCCAACAAGATGGAGGTGAAAACAAAAATGCTGAATTGACAACATAAAATATTTTGCTAAACAAAGCCTCCAAACATCAATAAAAATATTTTTAAATCTTCAAGAACATAAATAATACAAAAATATAATTTCTATTTAGCTGCTCTCCTTCTGAAAGGAGAGTTTCAGCCTGCTGGAGGGACCGAGGGGGTAGTTCATGGAGAGCTGCAGAGGGACACAGAGGAAGCTCAGGATGGGCTCCGGGATGATGGTTCCCGGCCTTTGCTGCCTGCGATGGGTCAGTGGGAGCTGTTGGCTTCTTTTTTCCACTTTATCCCAGGTGTTATTTGTAATGGAAACACTTTGTTGCAGCTGTGCTCTAAATGTTTAGACTCTTTCATTAAGTTTATTTTCTTTGCCTGTTTCTTAAAACATTTCTGTTGTTTGCTAAACACATAGGAGCCCTCCTTCCTCAGCCCGGAGCCTTGCTGTTTGCATCGCACGGTGTGCATTTGCCTTTGGCTTCCAGGGTAGGCCAGATGCTAAAAAAAATTGTGATGGGATACTATGGATAGACACAATAGGCATAACTCCGGGAGGCCAGGGGTTTATGCATGTAATCTCTCAAATGCTCACTAATGCGTAGGACACGGTAGTTTTAAAATGGTTAGCAAGGAATTGGTGTCTAGTGGGGAAACGGCACGTCAGTCCCTTGCCATCGCCGAGTCCTGCAAGCGAAGCCCTTTGTCGGGTCATTCTGGAACTGAGATTGCTCAGTGTTGTCCGCTGGGAAGGACGGAGCTACAGGCAGGTAAAGGTCCCTAAAAGCACGCTTGGGATCTCACCATCAAAATAAATCAGCTTCTCATTACCTTTGGTCAATTCCTTTACCAGGAGACAGAGGGATTTTAATATGCAACATCTATTGCCAGCCATTTTAGTTACTGTGCACCTCAACAGCCCTGCACTGCTTTGGGGTATCGGCCCTCCCGTTTGTGTTGGCTGCGTGAGCCTCGGACCGGCAGACCCGAGTGGTCGGACCTCAGTCTCGCAGTCCCAGCTGGAGCCTGGCGTTGTGGCTGGCTGGAACTGTTTGTGTAGGGTGATGAATCTGAGTCCGGATTTTCCTTGTTGCCCCAGTGATAGCTTCCTTGAGTCACCAGTTCCTGGTTAAATTATGTAATATTCCTTTTTCTTCCTCCTCTAAGACCCTCTCTCTGTTCAAATTGGATATGTCGACATCTCCGTTATTAGGCAGAATAATGCCTCTCCGATTTAGTAGCTGCTGGAAAAGTGCCTCCTTTTCACTTACCCCTTCTGCTCCCCAAACAAAAAGCAAAGCAGCAAACAGTGTAACAGAAACCCCAAAAGCACATGGGAGATGGAGGACATTGACTGTTGCACCTCACAGCGTCACAGTTGACACAAACAATAGGCTGGGGTTGCAAGTTAACACCAGTGTTTTAAAAAAGCTTTTCACAATCTGAACGGCGTGTTCACCCATCTTCAGGATGGGGCAGAGATCGATCTCTTGTGGCTTTATCTCCTTGGGCTGGTTGCTGCAGAATTTGGCTCATATTGGAGGGGGGGAATCCTGTCCCGTAATTTGTTAGAGATGGCAGTGACTGGGATTGGTATGGAACATGCTGATGAAATCCTCCATC